TCTCCCATCATTGGACTCTGTCGTCTGCCCCTCTGGCCCCTATCCTCCACTTCTACTAGCTAGACGACCCAACCGGGGTCACATAGGAGGGGGGGGTTGGACCCCCTCCTGCGGTTCATGCCTGAGGTATTTTTATCGCGAGAAGGGTACAGCAATCCCTTCCCTCGCGACTTACGAAGTCGATTATGGTTTACTAACAAACGAGCTTTGCAGCGCGTCGCTTTCATCCTAGACCAGGATTTATTTGGTGAGAAAAAAACTCTCTCTGCCGGGACTCGAAGCCATGACCTGGCCCTTAGCAGGCCGCGAGGTTACCCACTAGACCACCGGGGCGACCGGTGTGTAACTGCCTCGAGGGTGCTTGACCATTTTAACACAACGTGGTGCGATCATCCCCCTTGCGCGGAGTGAGGGTTCTCCACCCCGCACAACATGATCTACTCGACCACCATTATGGTTACCGCCAAAAAAAAAACGGAAGAAAAAAAAAAACGGTAACCTGGTTGCCGAGTTCACGAAGTGAACTGGCTTGTTTTACAACGTCGTTGCCAAGCGACGAAAACCCAACCCCGATGGCAAACACCGGGGGGGGCGGGGTCACCAATTCCCCATGCTTCCGGATTTCCTGCACAACCTTTTCCCGCAAAAAAACGTACGAGTATGCGTGAGACAAGCAGTAAGGACACATACCGGATAAAGCATAGAAACGACTGAGTTGGGATTGTAGGCCGTACCTGTGGCCCACGCAAGCTTCTCAAAGTAACCAAACATACTGGATAGAGTAAATGTTTGGGCTGTGGGGTTAGAGCTGGGGGTTGTGTGCCCCCTGTCTGGTCGTTTTTCGGCACATGCCGTATGAGGCTAAGAGATGGCAGCCCCCCTGGACCGAGGTTCAAAGCTCGATTGCTCCACAATCATGATTGCCTGTACCGTACCGTATACCGTACTGTGGTATTCCGTAAGAGGCGGAGAGATGGCACCCCCCCCCTGCACCGAGTTGCAAAGGTCGATTGCTCCACAACCAAGATTGTACCATACCGTGTACCGTACCGCGTAAGAGGCGGAGAGATGGCACCCCCCCCCTGCACCGAGTTGCAAAGCTCGATGGCTCCACAACCACGAGGGCGCGGAACGAGCTCGATACAATTACGGAAAGCCCTCAACGAGATGTTTCCACAAACCAACATTTTCGGTGTTTGCAATCGATCTTTGAAAATCGGTGTATAGCGGATGACATCTCTCCGCCTCTTACGGTCCCAGATATGCGTTCGTTCGGCCAGCCCCCCATCTACCTAGCTGGCGGGTGTAACTTGCTATTGGATAAATAGAGCCTGTACCTTGACCGGTGAATTTCACGCCGCTGCAATGAAAAGGTCGCAGAACCTGCGGGGGGGTTGTTGGCGTGGGGTGAACCCATTCCCAATATACCACCAAGTATCGCCACAAATTTGCCGCCTTCGTGCAAAAGAATGATACCAAGCGGTGCAGCGTCTCGCTCGTCGATACTTACTACTCTAGGAGATGCGTTTGTTGCCTACATCGCCCACAGCGGAAGTTTGTGTCCCTCTGTCTGTTATTCGAAATACCGATCTCCGGAACCTATGTGCTTGCTGCATTCCCGAAATTTCTCTGGCAACATCGCCCACGATGGTAAGATTTGTCGCTCTTTCGTCGATAATCTATTCTCTGAGTACCAACCGTTGGCTGCACAGCCCACAACCAAGGCTCTACCGTACTTTCCAGTACCTGCACAGGTCTCTTGTCGATGCCTCTGCAAGCTTCCCACAAAGCCCGCCCGGTCTTCTCTCCCAAGCCCAGCCCTTTCTGCATGTGAGTGAGGCTCAGCGGCCATAAATCCGAGCACGACGCAATACCATGCTCGTTGAGACGCTTGCGCAGCTTCCACCCAACCCCGGGTAAGTCCTGCCAACCGATCCGCCATTCGAAGATTGTCAGCCATCGTAGCGAAGCAACACGAGAGTGACAACCTATTTTGGAGATTATCACTGCTGCCAGCCAGCGAGAACTGCTCCCAAAAACAAAAATGACCCCACCGCCCCCCCCGGTGTTTGCCATCGGGATTGGGTTTTCATCGCTTGGCAACGACGTTGTAAAACAAGCCAGTTCACTTCGTGAACTCGGCAACCAGGTTACCGGGTTTTTTTTTCCTCCGGTTTTTTTTTGGCGGGAACCATCATGGTGGTCGAGTAGATCATGTTGTGCGGGGTGGAGAACCCTCACTCCGCGCAAGGGGGATGATCGCACTACGTTGTGTTGAATTGGTCAAGCACCCTCGAGGCAGTTACACAGTGCTTACAACTGTCTCTGGAAGTGAAAGCACCAGAAAGTAAATTAATTCATACGCAGCTGTCATCCGTACGCAAGGAAGTAAGCACAAGATGCCGAATACCCTTAGCAGGATGCAGCGCACCCTTCATGCGACTCGCCGAATATCTCACGGCGCTTCGCGCTTGGTGATGTGAGAGCCTGGTCCGGTGAGAACCCGGCGTGCTCCGTCCCGGCTTTGCAGGGATGCGAGGTCAATGGTCTAACGACTACGGCATGCACGACTATGAGTACACCCCCCCCCCTAAAAAAAAAAAAGGATGTCGGGCGAGCCAAGATCAACCGATCCGCAATGTGAGCATCGTCAACTGTCCTAGCGCACCAGCGCGAGTCGTCGAATCAATCCTGTAGCTACAACTGTTCGAGCAACCATGACTGTGGCACGACAAGCGAGCTGTCCTTTCCCGTTGGCATCTAACAAGCGCATCGAAGGCGGCGTTCGAAGTTGCTGCTGCTGCTGCTGTTGCTGGTGTTTCGCTGGTCGTGGTGGCGATGCACTACAAAAAAAAAACGAACGCGTTCGTTGAATCGATGCGGATGTCAGAATGTACTGAGCAGGGACTGCAACGGTCAAAAAAGAGACGATGACAACAGCAACAGCAACAACAACAACAACAACAAACCGAAAACCACATTAGAAAATCTGTGCGGGCAAGGTTAGATTGGTGTGTCTCTTGTCGATATAGTGCTGTTGCTGTTGAGTTTTTGGCTTTCTTGACATCGCGAAGCCTTCTGCTTCCATACTGCGCCTTGTCGTACAATCTCACAATGACGATGATTACAACGACGAGTACGGCATGAGGTACAGAAGAGGTCCCTGTTTAGTGCCGGTTGCCGGAATAGTGCCGGTGTTTTCGGCTCGCACACACTAGAATATCAAGTCGTTCTGTACTTTGAATAGTGCCGGTGCCCGGTATAGTGCCGGTGAAATTATTGCGCACACCCCGGCACTAAACAGGGACCTCTACTGCATGGATTTCGGAAGCAATGACGATGAAACGAACGCAAAGCACCCTATGAGGCATGGATTTCGGGAGTAGGCAGTGATGGCGTGTCAACAAAGATCACTGGGAAGCGAGAATGTGTTTCAAACGAGCGGGGGAGTGAACGGTTGGGCGTGGTAGTTTTATTACGTTAGAACAACGTTCAAACGACTGCACCATTGAGAGAGGGTGCAAACCGAAAGCACGAGTGAGGCAAACAGTGATCGCGCTAGCCCGCACACAACGAGTGAGTGAGTGAGTGAGTGAATAAGGGAGTGAAATGCGTGGGTGAAATGACGAATGGATGGTTGATCGACTTGAGCTTGAGTAGTTGAATGTGCGTCAGTGAGACGTTGAGTGAGTGTACGAGCTAGTGAGTGAGAACGATGGTGACCGCAAAGGTGAGAAGTGAGAGAACGCACGTGGCAAGGAGTGAGTTCGTGAGCTGCAGTGAGCGGATGAACGTGAAAATGTAAGTGAGAGTTTGAGAACCGCAGTGACCCATCTGAGTCATGACAGTACACACGTCAAGAGTATGTATGCGGGTGGATGAGTTACTAGCTCCGCCACCAAGTGAGTGGGTGAGTTCGATAGCCAGTGGGCTGGGGGTGTACTCATACTCAAATTCGTGCATGCCGTGTCGTTAGACCATTGACCTCGCATCCCTACAAAGCCGGGACGGAGCACGCCGGGTTCTCCCCGGACCAGGCTCTCACAACACCAAGCGCGAAGCGTCGTAAGATATTCGGCGAGTCGCATGAAGGGTGCGCTGCATCCTGCTAAGGGTGTTTGGGCTCGTGTGTGACAAAAGTCCGAAAAAATTGTGATCGAGGGCGTACACACGTGAGTGAATAAAAGCATGCGGGTGTGCGTACGGATGAGAATGAATGAATTAACGAATAGGTGAGTGAGTGAGTAAAAGAAAGTGAGCATTGAGGTCGTACGCGGCAGAAGACAACGACGACGACGAACCTGCACCAGCAGCGGACCCATGTGGCGCATGGCCATCTCCGGCCAAAGGCAAAACTGTCCGTCCGGCTTAGCCTCCTTAGTTGCCATCCTAGACGAGGACAGCACATTCGACAGTGGGGAAAAAAATATCCGCCTGGCTGTTTGTCCAACAACTTATCCGCCTGGTTCTGCACAAGGTTTGATGCAAGACACGTGTGAACAAATGCCGTGCTGCAACCGGAGCTGAGGCTCGACACGGTTTCGTGTGCAGGGGAGCGGGTCGGGCTCGCGCTCTGGGGTGTTCCCGGTTCCGTGTTATTTTGGGCAAGATGATACGAGATGCTGGAGATGCGCGGACAAAGCAGCACAGCAAACTACAGCAGTGTTGTACAATATTTGCTCGCAACATGGTAGACGCATACACGGCCATCTAGCTTTTTCTGTACACCGGATTCGTACGCCGTGCTTCCCTTCCTCTCCTCAAGATCAAATCTTCATTGCACTATCGGCGCGATGAATAAAACTTGTCCACAATGCTCTAGGACAGCAACTCACCTCGCCAGGAGCATGTTGTTGGACGCCCCCGCGCTTGCCGAACAGCCCGTTTCTTCGTAAATGCTTCGGCGGATCTGGTCCGTGGTGATACGGGGGGGGGCATCGCCAAGCGGGCCACAAAGAGGGACAATACGGACAATCTGTGTCGGTGTTGTTGTTGTTGTTGTTGCTGCTGCTGCTTGTGTTGCTTGTGCTGCTGCTGTTGTTGTTTTCGTGCTGCTGTGGTTGTTTTGTTGTCGCCGCTGGTGCTGGCGCTACTGTTGCTGCTGCTGATGGCGGTTACACCTGTGTGGAACACACTTCATCGAAAACCGTTCACCAACAGCCACATGTTTTCACGCCGGGTTCGCACCCACGACCGTACAGAACAGACACGATCACCGCTGCGAACGCACGATGCGCATGACCCCGCAAGCGCATGACCAAGGTCAGAGGCGATACAACAAAACTGGTCAAGCTCATGTAGCCAAGCAACCATCGCTGCACGACCCCCGGAGGATGTCGTCCTTCTGCCAGCCGACCAATGCAAAAAAAGTCAACCTTAAACGCTGCAGGAAACGATCTGCACGTCGTTTAGAAGCCGAAATCAAACCACTAGACAGGTCAGCCCGCTGACAAGTCGAATGCCTCTTAACTACTCAAACGGTTCGACTTCGGCGTCCGTGAAAGTATGTCGTGGAATCCGAACGACCCGACACTTCCACTCCGATGATTTCGGCTTCATAAGCCACTTGAAAAGCATGCAAACACTAAGCTGACCAGTCTAAAGGTTAGTCGTGGGGCCTGAATGATCCAACACAATCACTCGTGGGGTCTGAATGACCCAACACTTTCACTTAGAGGAGGTTTCGGCTCCTCAAGTCGTTTGTAACGCACCCCGACGGAAAGACTCTCAGCCATATGTATTTAAAGACAGCAACGCTCGGAGACGGTCTCCGAGGTCCCCTGTCGGCACTATAATAGTACCTACGGAACACAATCTCGAAGACCCTCAAAACCTTTCGACTGCGTCCGATGCCCGGCAAAGGCAGAAAAATGGTCAAAGGCGGCCTGCCGTTTCGCCAATGAGCACATTTTGAAAAAACGATCTCACGCTGACTACCCAAGCAATTGGCCCTTGAGACCGCACGCATTGCAAAGGCAGCTCACAACTAGCAACAAGCCCAACGCGTTCTGACGGGTTCTCGGGGAAGGGAGGCGCACTACTGTAAACGCATGCCTCACTCGTTGGATCATGGACGTCGCATCCCTACAATGCCAGGACGACGCGATAAGCCGGGTTTGCGTCGGGGAAGAAGGAGGGGGGGAGGGGGCGGGGTACGTCTCACCCGGGTCGCCGTCTTCACGGGCTCGGTCCCCTCCTGGAGATCGAATAACGCCTCGTACGAGGTGTTCAATCATCTCAAAAAGCCAAACAAGGCTGAGACTTCGCACACTACCAACGCAGCTCACAACGCATCTTGTGAAAGGCGGAAGCGGGGTGTGTCTCACCCTCGTCGCCGCCTCCATGGGGTCAGTCCCCTCCCCCAGCTCCAAGAACGCCTCGTCGCAGCTGACGGCCATCACCACGGGCGCGTACCGCAGGAACACCCCGTACATGTTCTCGCTTGCCGCCGTGTAGGCCTCGAAGTCGTACCTGTGATGCACAGCGCCGCCGGTCGTGCCGAAGGGACGCAGGTCCGTGTGGGAGTGCTGTGGCGAAACCGATGGATCACAGGTAGGGGCTCTGTGCGCGAGTGCTGGGACAAAAACGATGGGAAACAGGTCGGGCTGCAAGGGCTTGTGCGGCAGTGCTTTAACGAAAAATGATGGGACACGGTGTCGCGCGTCGAGGATTGTGACGCGAAAACTAGGTGAAAACGACAGGTTTGAGTGGGAGTGCGCCATCGCGCGGACGATGCGACACAGGTCGGGCGTCGAGGTTCGTTCGGGCGTGCTATGAGAAAAGCGAATACAATTACATTTGTTCTTCGCACCAACTAGCATCACTGATAACTCAGTGTAAGGCTTACACAAACTCGAAATAAGCCCAGTCTCCAGTCGGTTTCAATCCACTTACTGAAAAGGCTTCACCACATCCCTTTCGACTGAGGTTATATCTCGAACGGGTTTGTTTAATTTCTACAAAACGATGGGAAACAGTGTTGGGCGTCAAGGTTTGTGTCCCGGTGCATTACGGCAAAACAATGTGGAAAACACGTCGGGCGTCAGGTTTTTGAGGGAGTGTGCCGTTGGACGCATGATAGGAAACAGGGCGGGCTTCAAGGTATTGTGAGGGAGTGCCATGGCAAGAACTGCAGGTCTGGCGTCAAGGCTTGTGAGGGAGAACTAGGACAGCAGCAGACGATCGAACATGGGTCGGGGATCAAGGCTCGTGCGGAAGTGTACCATGGCAAAAACGATGGAACAGAGGTAGGGCTTCAAAGCCTACCGTGTATGACACAAGATAAAACACCGCCTTGACCAATTTTCGAAGCTCGGTTTCTCAACTGCAGGAACAGTCATAGCGCCGAAAACGGCGGCGTTGAAACCGTCTCGTCGAGAGTTTCTCGAAAATGTATCGTTTCGTTTATGCATCCTCTTCGTCGTGGAGTAATCGAGCTTTGAAATCGGTCCAGGTGGTGCGTTATCTTGTGTCATATACGGTATGCGGGAACGCCGTGGCAATACGGGGCCAAGACCAACAGGAAGCAAGGGCGGAATACAGGGCATGTCGCCAAACAGTGGGTCGTCAACTGGGCCCCACCCCCTGCGCAGATTCTTCCGGACGTCCTGACATCGATCTTTCAACGAGAAGTGGCACGAAAACGCCCCCGACGCTTGCAATAATCTGTAGGAGCAAGCCAATCATACCCCTTGTAAGGAACGGTTGCCTGGGTCTTGTCGGCATCGTTCGCCTCGGGGCACTCGAGATTTCAGCCGGGGTCCCCCATTGTTGCCGGTTGAATATTGCCAATGCCCATTCTATTTCCACTGGTGTAAAATCGAGTGGCACCTAAGGAAACGTCGAAGTTATTTCATTCTCCCGCAAAAGTGCCGGGTGCACGGCACATCGCCGGTCGATATTCAAGCTTGTCTCATTCTCTGTCCCGTGCCAAGCGCCCGAAATAGTGCCTGCGAATCTCGTGGGCACCTCCCGGCACGATCGAGGGACCCCCACTTTCCCTCCTGCTCTTACCTTAGCACGATCAACTCCGGGCACATCTTCTTGGCTTGCATCATGAACATGCCTGCCCTCAGCCCCTTCGCCCGGGCGGGGTAGTTGCACGACGAGATCTCGCTGCTGCCGGCCCCCTTTGCGTTGCTCGCTGTGCAAAACAGCACGTGTGCACCAGCGATGAAGCGAGAGGGTACGTCAAAAAACGAAAATGAAAAAAACATGATCACGGCGGGGGTGTCCCTCGGGATGGGCTGGCAGCACCGGTTGCGCATATTTCGAGACTTTGAAAAGCATTGTGCATATTTCTCAGCTTTGAAAAGTATTCTCGCGGGGACAACGAAATAATAGTCCAACAACACGATTCCAGCCAGGAAAAAAAAAAACAAAAACAATACAAGTACAATTATTGTTACGGTTTTGATTTTCCGGGCGTAACAAGCGGCGTGTTCAACACCCGTCGTATTCTTGGGGAACTCCACAGTCCGCACCGCGGCAACTTCACAAGTTTTATCTTCCATGCGCTCGCTACGTACACGCTCGACTTCGCCCAGCACTCTTGCCTGCTGCTGCGCGCTTACCATTGTGGGCGACGGCCACGGGCTTATCCTTCAGCTCGGGGCGGTTTTTGACCAACACGCTGACGAAAAAGCAGTCCATGTCCACGTGAAGGATCACTCGGGTCTCCCCGCGACCCAGTCTCCCCCCGAATACAGGCTGCGTCGCCCCGGGCAAGGCTCGGGCCGCCAGACCGGCGTTCACCACCTTTACTGCGTGCGCGCGCCTGTGGGAGAGGGGGTTCCGGGTTGTGTGCGCGTGTGTGTGTCTGTCTTATTAGCATCGACCGCGCTAACCTGCTGACCATTGATTGTGTGTGCGTCTTCATGTCTAGCATCGGAGATTGTGTGTATGTCGGTGAGTCTTTACCCTTGGCATCGGAGAATTATCATTGTGTGTATGCACCACACAAAAACAACAACAGCAACATAAGTTCGCCCAACACCAACATAGGTTCGCCCGCCTTTCTCACCCCACGCCAATGAAGTGCAGCCTCGAGTTCCGGAAGAACGTCTTCATGAAAGCCGGGTCGTCCTTAGTCGACCGACCCCCCTCCCCCGCAGCCCCCATCTCAGGAAGCTCGAACGGCGGCGGAACGGAAGGGTCGTGACCGCTGACACTGCCGCCACCACTGCTGCCGCCGCCGGCGTCGGTAGCCCCCGAGCCTACAAGGTAGCGGGTACCGCTGTCGGTGCTGCCGGGAGCGTCATCACCGTCGTTGTTGTTGTTGTTGTCACAATTGCGATCGTTGTCATTCGATTGCTCGCGGCTACCGGCGCTTCCTTCTTCCAGCACGGGGTGTCCGTTACTGTCAGCGTTGGTCGCTGATGGGGCTGAAAAATCTTTGCCGCCGCCGGCACCGGCACCCCCAGTACTGGGAATCGCACTCCGCGGCGCTGCTGACAGAGCGGGATGTTCGGCTGCATGCTGCCGCTGCCGCTGCTGCTGCTGCTGCTGCTGCTGCTGCTGCTGCTGCTGCTGCTCCGAGGATCCATCCACAGCAGCAGCTGAATCTTCGAATGCCGCCAACGCCGGCGAACGCCTAGTCTCCAGGTTCTCCCTACCGAGGGTGGCGTTTTCGTGTGCGCCGCTGCCAGTCAGCCCGCCAGAACGCGATGCCGCCGGACAGCCCGCTCCAGCACCGCGCCCAGTGCCCCCGTCACGTGCGGTACTGGCCGCGTCGGTGGAAAGGTGCCGCGGGAAAACCCTCGCCGCATGCCCCTGATCCTGACAACCGTGTTTCGTGTTTCGGCCTCCAGAAAGGTGGCCGCTTTTCGACCCGCTCGGAGACGGACCCGCCCCTCTCGCACTTGGTCCGCCGCGTCTACTACCGCTGTGCACGCCACTGTCATCGCCACGGCCGCCACTGCTGCTACCGCCGCCGCCATCGCCGCCTCTGGTCCCGCCTCGAACATCCACGCCTCCAGTCCGTCTATCGGCTGGGCCCACCCCTCCGGACGGGGCCTTGCCGTAACCGCTATCGGCACTTCCGCCAGAGACACGCCTCCTTACGCCGGCAGGTCCCGACGACGGCGGCGGCGGTGGCGGCGAATTCTTCGGCGTCGCGGAGGCGGCAAACGACGCGGCTAGGGTGCCCTTCTGGGCGAAAATTCCGTCTACCATGTAGTCCGCCAAGGGAAGCTTTCGCCGGGCTTTGGCGGAGTCCTGTACCCACGCCGAGCGCACCACAGGTGGGGGGTGCCGCAGCTGGACGTGCGCCGAAAGGGGGTTGGGTGCATGCGTGGTCAACCGAGAGGCAGCGGCCATCGAGCACGGATGTTGTGTTGCACATGCGACGGCGGTTGAAACGCGAAGGAGAGGAGTGCCGCCGACAATACCTACCAGAGCCCCCACCCCACCCCCCCGGAAAATTCACCAACAAGTCACGGAACCCCAACCTAGAGACATGAAAGTCAACAAGGTCAAGGGTCGATTCTTCGGGTAACACAGACGTGGAGGCAACCATGTACGTTACAAGCGAACCTGGTGAAACCTGAAGACATGGCGCGAACGATGGTACAAGTACTGATAACCTCTGCAACTGCTGCACAAGGTGATGCAATGTATTCCAGCATTGGCTGCGGGTGTTCAGAACGTGCTGAGCAGAGATCGGACGGTTTCGAATGTGAAGACAACGACCACAATAACAACACCGACGACGGCCACGACCATGACCACTACAAACCTACCTTCCTCAGCTCCCTGATCTTGGCGGCCGGTAGCACCTCGCAGATCATGTGCGTGCACCTAGACGTGTTGTAGGCCTCCACGGTACCGCCGCGAGACACCAGCAGCTCGCGCAGCGTCGACACCGGGACCGGGAAATGGCCGTTAAAGTGTGCAACAACCCCCTTGAACACGTTGCCGTCCGAGCCTGCAAGAGGGCAGACCAAGGGGGACAAGCAGAACTCAAAAAACATGTTGCGTGGGCCGTGATAGTCGCAACAACAAGAGGAGGTACTGGCTTCTTTGCAGAGGTTGGGGGAAGGCCTGGGAACAAGGGTGGAATTGCGCCGAACGAGAAGCATGCAAATGGCTTCAAGATCGGTGGGCAATGGGAGGGGTTACGAAACCGTTTGGTGTAGGGTTGCAAGCTGCCGGTCCAGTGAACGTTGCCGTTGTGACGTGGCCACGAGGAGGGCAATGGCGTTAAGCTACATGGCAGCTGCAAGGCAAACCTTACACCAGTCAGCTCGGTCCCTGAAATCACACCTTCTGGTCACGAAGCTGGTTTGATTTCGGGTACGAATGGCAAACTCATCCCAGGATCCCAGCTCCAACTACTTCGCCTTCAAGTGCAGTACTGTCGTTAAAATTAGTAGCATGGCTCTCCCCGTAAAACGTACGTATTGCCTGTCCAGAACAGCAAGCAACAGAACTATTCTAGCAAGGGGCGAAAACATCTAAGTCCCACCACACAGACCCCATTCTTCCAGCGGCGAGTACAAAGTGTGTGCAACTGCCAAACGCGATTTGGAAAAACCGCACTGAGCTAACGTTAATTCATCGGTCAGCCGGCTAGCACGGATAACTGCAAAACACTGCAAACACACGAGGAGGATACATGGTGCAGCAACATGCCGAGGGGGCCACAACGAGGCACGTGCGGTTCTCTTCCACCGATTCTGCGTTTGATCCGCAGAATAGCCTAGTCTCTCCCATGGCGCCCCCTCACGGGGTTCCACACCATGGCGTTTAGAGACGCTTTCCTTTTTCAGTCGCACAGAGACTGACGTCTTTTCATTGGTCAGCCGGTCAGCACGGTTGATGTCAATTACAAAGACACACAAGCACGCACACACACGCACATGTTTAATGCGGCGTGTAGCAAAGCCCCCCCCATGACGCCCCTTCACGGGGTCCCGGATCGTGCCCCTTCAGAATCATTTTGTGTTTTTTCAACCACACGGAGACTGCCATACGTTCGTTGGTTGGCCGGTTGGCGCGGTCGATGCTGATAACAAAATACACGTACACAAGCAAAGTTTTCATTGGTCAGCCGGTTAGCACGGTCGATGCTAATAATAAAGACACACGCAAACACACGCACGACCGACCACTTGCCTTGGAGGCGAGGAACAGCACCGTCGACCTGTCGGCGAAGCTTGTCCATCTTGTGGGACATGTACACGCCGAAGCTCCCCTGGTGGTGCTCACCCACAGGCACCGCCGGCCCATCGTCATCTTTCGCCACGCTATGCGTCAAATCCCTCACTGTCCTCTGCTCCGAGGACGGGCTGCGAGCTTCCCTAGAAGCGCTAGGTGATGCCGGCGTGCCGAGGTCGTTTGAATCTGGGAGCCTTTGCGAGGCATCTGTGCCATCGACGGGGATACCAGCTGCAGCGGCGGCAGCAGCGGCAGCGGCAGCGGCAGCAGCAGCTCTGTCTTTGTCCCCTACCCTGCCGCTCCACTGCAAGGAGCTGTGCTTCTGCCTCCGTTCGAAGTACGCCTTTCGATCGCCATGCCGCTTCATGCGGGAGAACCGGCCATGTAAACAGGTCTTGAGTGTATCTAAAGTTGTAAAACGAATGGAAAGCGCATTGTCGTGAGACAGTAGCGGTACAAGCACGAAAGAGCGAAGGGACTGCTGAACCTTCGCGCGCCTAATACTTCAAGGCAAGGACCCCCGGAGGATATGTCGACAACAAATCAGGTGTTTTCCCTCCCCCTGTTTGATCCGCAGGTCGGGGCATTTGTGCGTCGAACATACACCCAAAGATGTTACAGAACGCGCCCGCACTGAAGAAGCTCTTATTTTTCCCTACGCTCGTTTTCTTGATTTCTTGGTGGGGCAACCCAACATCGACTTAATAGGTTCTAGTGTAGGATTCTTAGAGAGCACCTGTGCGTATCCTTAAGTTCAAATGTTGGTTTCACAAGTTGATTTCTATGCATATGAAGCTGAAATTCCTTGGGGTACCAGGATGGGCATTAGAAAGTACTGAGTGGAGACCGGGTCGGTTTTTAATGTGAAGACAACGACAACAACCAATTTCTTGAGTGCGGGCGCGTTCAGCTGCCTGCCAAGCCCGTGGCCGTGCCACTGCTGTACGGCGACAAATCAGGAGGGTGTGAGGGCGCCATGGGCAGAAGGCCTACGTAACGGGACATGAAACAGGGCAGGGAACAGCCGAGAGCCGCAATCCATACGGTTCAAGCACTCAATACTGCTGTAATTTTGATTTTGTCGTCGTGAACAGCGAATTTGCATGTACCGTTCTACTCTGAACGGTCTTGGCGCGAAGTATCCATTTTGCAGCTGTGTGCAGTGTGGTACTATCAATGGTAGTCTGCACTACTGCTGTATGTAGATAGTCTACCGCTGTAGGAATATCCCATCTCTTGGATAATGCAACTCGAGAGTGTACCGACGAGAGACTGCGGTCAGGGGTGCAAGCACTTGCGGTACTGCTGTTTTCCGTGTTCGATGGGGCATGCTTTGCTGCTGTTGTTGTCGTGTTGAGCTCGTAGCAGCTTCGAGAGCCAGACGCCTTACTGACCACGTGAACACCCCTGGCGAGTCAGACAACGTTGACGGCGATCACGATTGAAAACACACCGCAGCGGAAGCTCTATAATACGAAGCTTCCAAGTAGGCAGTTCTTGCCTGGGCCAGCACGCGCAACTCCAAAACATTGTAGCATGGACAGGTACATACTTCATGACTACAGCAGCCAACAACACTACTGCTGTCTGTTTGGGTGCATTTGCAGATAGATCAGGACAATCAACGACACAAACGCACATGCTATGGGCGTGATGACACTCAAGTACCCAGACTACATTATACCCGTGCGTCGCGTGTCGGATGCCTGGGCAAAACCAACCGCTACATACCTGCTGCTCCCCATTTTGCCTAACCTGACGTGCTTCTTCAAATCAACCATCAACCACATCACCTGCATCGAGAGTCTCTCACCAACCGGTTCTAATCTTACACCATTGGCTGGAAGCAATTGCTTGCAAGCGCTACGCTCATATCTCGCTTCTTGTCGTGTGTAGTTGAAGTCCGGAGGTTGTGCGCCTGGCGTGTGAGCCCTGCAGCAATCTAGGCAGCAAAGACTCCACGTCGACACCGCAGTCACCAATGCGGAGCAATTGAATTGACCAATACAGCGCGAAACGGTTTTTGAACCTCGCCGTTCTTCACGAAATATCGGCAATTTCAAGCCACTTCAACTGGGCCAGCTACACACACTAGCAGCAGCAGCAGCAGCACAGCGGCGGCGCTTTTCTCCCACGAGGGCCGACGACCGGTGAAGGCTGGGATTCCCATCGAGCTTAGCGAGCAGGCCTGCTGCACATCTTCAACCCGAGGCCCTGGATCTGCAGGGAAGGGAACCCCAGAAGCGGTGCAGCCGGCGCCCTGATAGGATGCACTCGTCGACTGAACCAACAGCCAAGGTTGCAGTCCCCGGCATGGCCTTGCCAGGCGCGAAAGAGCCAGCCATGGCGCTAGAAACCATCCCAAGGGCACTGACTGCTTCTGCTTTGGTTGTCCCAGGGCGGCATGGCGGCGGCAGCGGCGACATCCCAGCGGCGACGGCGGCGGCGGCGAGTCGCTCGTCCGGGAATCCTGCTGCGGATCCCTCCGGAAGCAGCGGCAGCAGCAGTAGAGCGGGACATGACTATTGCAGCCAATTTCGGGTGCTGGCTGCGCTCCCGGCGGCGGCCTCTCCCGCCGACAGCGGCACTAATAGACTGTCACGGTCGACGTCTTCCGTGCTGGGTAAGCTGCCGAGCCCTCGCGGTCTCGACGACGACGAAGACGACCAGGGGGGATCGCGCAAGAATCGTCGGCCCCGCCGCTCGTTCAGCTGCCCTAGTCATAAAACGGCCAAGCTTGCAACGGACGACAGAATTTTTTCCGGTCCCGGGTGCTGCAGCGGCGGCGGCAGCAGCAAAACCGCGCTGCTGCTCGAGAACGCGGTCAACAACCTCTTCGGCGGCGTCATCGCCAGGTTCCAGCAGGGCCTACGTGCCGGCGACTACAATGACGGAGACTTGGCGGCGAAGAACGGCCACATGCATATCGTGACGCGTGTGGCGACCACGTTCTCCGACCGGGCGATGGCGCTGGCCGCGGCGCAGGGACACCTCGAGATGGTCGCCTACCTCCACCGGAGTAGGGAGGAAGGCACGACGACGGAGGCGCTGGACTCGGCCGCGACGTCGGGGCACCTGGAGGTGGTTAGGTTCTTGCACGAGAACCGGCGGGAGGGTTGCACGACGAGGGCCATGAACGGAGCCGCAAGCAACAACCACTTGCACGTGAGTATAGTCGACTATACAGCAGTAGGAGCTTGGAAAGTATCATGTTCCGTGCATTTTCTGGAAAAAGTAGGCCTCCGCGAACGATATTAATTCATTGCTACACTCTACTAGTAGCGTCGTTCCAGACTCTTTCTCTGTGGGAGATTAATACTTTCTATGTTCTCGTGGAAAAAATATAGGATTAGCCTAGTAGACTAGCTAGATGTGAATAGAGGGAATCGTCCTCGATAGACGTTGGGGAGATAGTAGATACCTTAGGCGAGATGCTGTAGTCTACAATACCAGGTGCGTACAATATGCTTCCGTACATGTATTTGCCGACGAACGGCCTAGCGGTTGCTGGGCTGTGTGGTGTTGGGTCTCCAGTTATTATGCGAGATACATGACCGCACAAACAAACGAGAGTCTTGCCGATTTTTTTTGGATCTACAATACACGTAGTCGCATGCACGAAGCACTACATACGTAAGACTACGACGAACAAAATGCGGCTCAATTATCTCTGATCTACGTGTAATTTACACACGTCTGGTGAAGAAATCTGGTAATGCAGTACGACCCAAACTTTTAGAGCCGAACTACCACACTTTTTGAAGTCGGGCGCTAACACTCGTAGTCTAGTCTATGTAGCAAAATTGCACCGAACCTGGAGCAACGGGTGCTTGTTGAAGAATTGCTGACCACCAACATTGTACCTAAAGTTTGCGCCCGCGATTCAAGCCAACCATTGAGAATCAAAATCAAGCTCAGATGTTGGCAAAATAAATACGAAAAGTCAACTATTTCAGAAACACAGCTGGTGGATCCCACACAAAACTCTATATAATGACCTATGCTCGACGGTGGTGACGACACAAGAAATTGAGCCTCGACCCTAAATAGACGTTTCTTGAACGTGAGCGTTAACTTCATAGAGTAAACTTAGTCACCATGCAGTCAATGTTGGGCTACCCGACAGAGAAAATGAGCAACGAATCTCTTGCACTAAAAAAGCAAACCAAGAAACGGGTGTGTGTTGTATCATGTGGCTTTCTTGGTTCGAGAAGTACTTGGGAAATACTGGCATCATTGTGCATTGCAACTTTATGGTAGGATCTTATCGGCGCGGCGCAGGCGCTCAGATTGCCTCAAAATATGCCCGAGGACAGAAAAAAACGAGGCTTTCCCGAAACAATTTTTCGTGTTTCAGTGGTGCTTTTTCAGCTTTGACAATGTCGGCGTTGCTGTGCCTCCTGAGACCTTCAGTGCTTCCACCCGAAGTGATGAAACACTTTTTTCTTGTGGGGAGCGGGAGGTGAAAGAAATAAGGCTAAGGCTGACCACAAGAACAGGTTCTCAGCCAAGATTCCTATGCATACAGCAAAGTAGGGGCGCATGTTCCGATCGATCCCATCGCAGCGGTGAAACCTTCCACGACAAAGGAGCATTCCTGTTTGCGTGCCGTCCTGCTCTTGCTGACGTTTTTGTCACGGTTCCTCTCTCTCGCTCTCTCCCCCCCCCGCCCTCCCCCCGCTCTCTCTCTCT